GAATATCTCCAGAGAAGGAGACTCCACAACCTCCCTGGGCAGCCTGGGCCAGGGCTCCGTCACCCTCAGAGGGAAGAAGTTCTTCCTCATGTTCAGACGGAACCTCGCTGAGCAACAGCCCTGGCTGCCTGGTGCTCACAGCCTCAACAAGGGCCGCCTTCTTTCGGCATAGCTGGTAACCGGGAAGGGGCTCGCTGCTGAGGGTTGGATGCAAGTCCCATCAACAGATGCTAGGAAGAAAGCACGGCGGATGGGTGGGGAATGATGCCGAAGGCCTAAACGTGGCTTGAGCAGAGGAGCAAAGCCAAGGAAAAACACAAGGAGGAGAGGGAGGTATACAGCAGGTCAGCACTGCTGGGCATGCGAGTTGGTGCTGGCGAGTGAGGGGGTACGGAAGGGATCCCCAACCTACGGTCACCATAAAAGCATGCTCATACACCGCCTGTATTACTTTGTGGCCTCTTCACTTGTGCTTAGTGATCACAGAATCATAGAATCACTGAGATTCAAGTCCAACCATCCACCCAACCCCACCACGCCTGCTAAACCATGCCCTGAAGTGCCACATTCACATGTTTTCTGAACCCCTCCAGGGATGGGGACTCCACCGCTGCCCTGGGCAGCCTGGTCCAACGCCTGACCACTCTCTCAGGAAAGATATTTTTCCTAGTATCTTTAGGAAATCGCTTCACTGTGCTCCTTTGCAAGCATTCACAGACACACACACGCACACGCTCTGGGAGCTGAACACGCTGAGGGGCAGCACGCCTGGGTCTGATCCAAAGCCTGCAGAGGTTAACGGAGAGAGTCCGATTGATCTCAGTGATCTTCTCATCAGCTCTGCTTGAAATGGCCCAAACTGGACATCGTGCTGATGGCAGCATGGGGAACAGAGCTCCAGTCTGACTCCCTGCCCCACGTTTCGGTCCCTAGGCTGCATTCCCTTTCTAGCAACGCTCTTCTTCTCAAGTTTCAAAGGGCTTCCCTGCCCCACGTTTCGGTCCCTAGGCTGTATTCCCTTTCTAGCAATGCTCTTCTTCTCAAGTTTCAAAGGGCCGAATTAGTTGCCACAGACAGCACCCAATAATTAACATGTCTGAGCATAAATATAACATTTCATCCAAGCTTTCAAGTCATGATAAGAGCTGAAGACTTCAGTTTTATGACTGTCTGTAATATGTATATTCATGTTAGCTCTTAAACAACTTCATAATGAGCTGATTTTTCGAAATATTTAATGGAGATGAATACATGCTTATCCAGCTCTTTGCATGCAGGAAGGTTCTGTTTAACTGTGGGTTTTGTGGTGAATTAACTTCTGTAATACAAAGCATGTGGTCAAACCTAAGATATATACACATCAACATAGTTTGAACTTGATTTTGCATAGATAAATAAAGGTTCTCGAGGCAGGACATTCTGTAGCATAGTATTAGCATTAGCGCAAAGCATATGTTTGTGGTTGAATTATGATTCCTTGGAAAAGTGGAATGGTGAGGCTGGAAATGACTTTGCAATAATTAATGGCCACTTCACCATAAAAAGTTCCTGCTTGCGTAAAACTGCTCCATATCTTCTGAGAGAAAAAAGACACGAATAATTGCTGTGAGCCACAATGGAAAGCCAGTCTCCCAAATAATTAAAAGCCATCTTAAGCAGGAAGTGTCACTCATTAACTGAAAAGTATCAACCTAGTAATTAACATATATCTTTTCCTGTCTGCACAGAACTTTAAAAAAGAACTCAGCACCTACTGAAGGTTTTTCTGTTGCTAGGATTTCACCTTGAGAAAGCTACTTGCTTCCAGCTTCCTTTTATTTATCTTAATTCACAATTGGAGTCCTTCTACTGTGGAAAGCAATACGGTCCCATGCATGTGCTTTCTCCTCGAATTAAACACACCCCTCATCCTGTGAGGTCCAAAACTCGGAAGATGCTTTAGAGTCGTACATCATTCGGGAACTGCACTCTCTTTTGGTTATTGTAACCATATTCTCTCTGGCCTCCTCATTCCTCCCCCATCTGCAGTTTCTTCAGTGCTGCTGGATCTACATTCGTATTTTGAATCCCTAACCCACATCCTCCACGGGTAGGGAGGGACTGCAGATTCGCCATGAGTCACACGCCACCTAAAGATGTGTAATCACAAATCTGCTTGCTGGGAGGGGATGGAAACTAAGAAACTGCTTGTGCGAATGAAGGCACCTCCTCCGAGCGCAACCCGGATGACTCCCTTCTCCATTTCCTTTTCCACTTGTGATAAAAACTATTTCTGATGGTTCTGACTAGACAACTAGGAACAGCAAAATGTAAACTGCCTAAAACAATTTTTTCCCCCAAGCTGTTGAATCAGACAACTAAATGAAACCTTTGAGGAACCAAGCAGGGCAGTGTCATCGGTGGGCTCTCCCATCCCACGCTGGCTCCAGCTCTCCGAGTGAGCCACTACAACCAAAGCCAAGTCACCGAAGCAAACTAAACCACCGGGCAGCCCAACACAGCTAAATGTGAAGGCTTGCTGCAGGCAGAATGCGTCTTCGTTGGAAAACCCGCATCCCGTGGACTGCAAAACACAACGTGACACAAGCCAATCTAAAAAACCAGTGAGACACGCAGCCGGTGTTTCCTACACACACAGTGAACAAATCTCTAGGAGGATTTGCGATCCTTCTGGATTTTCTAAGAATATTTCTAATTTAGGTGAAATGTATTAACCTATTACCTCTTATCATGGTCCCAAAATTATGTTGGGCTGATGGCTCACCTGGACCTCTTCCAACAGAAACTCACCAGAGTGCCAAATGACATAGCAAGTGAGGTTTCAGATCTGGTCTTTGACCATTTCTATCAGCCTGTCACATAACTTCTGGTAAAGTTTAAACAGTTATCTGCATCCCAAGTCATGGTAATTCTGCTTTGTATGCTGAAGTCACTGGGAGTTCCACCACCCCTTCTTAAAGGGAACAGGGTCCCAGCTGTCCCAGTTTAAATCCCCGTTTCCATATCCAAATTATTACTTTGGGGCACCTTATTAGGCATTCAGAAGAGACTTTGGATATGTCAGTGCTACCTGGAGCTTTAAATTTCAGGTTGGCTGCTTAAGATCATTTAGAAGTGTGTTATTTCGCATGGGTACAAGAAGCTGAAGATTTTTTTCTTCCATATTGTTTCCACATCCATAAAGGAGAAATGTAATCCTTAGCCCTTAATGTTTTATTGAGAATGTAATTTCTCTTTCTTTCCCAGTAAAGAATAACCCCTCACATCCCACTCCCAATATTTCAAACTGGCCACAGCATTGACTTATGACAGGAAAATGTGACTGACAGGTCTCAGCAATCACCGTGCATCACGCATGGCAGTCGGACCCAGAGGCCGTGCCAAGGGAGTGCGTAACCCACAGCATGAGGGGGATGAACTCCAAGGTGTGAGAGTCCCGATTTAGATATTCGCACCAGGATACGTATCCCTGCTGCTGCCTACTTATCAACCCCTCACACTCTTCTGAGACTTGGATAATCAGTACCTTCAGATTAGTAGGTACCGATGGATCAACCAGAACACAGTTCTACAGCAGTTTGAGAAACCATGAACTTCTACCAACTCCCTTTCTGATTTGGGGCAACCCCTGTTTTTTTGAAATAACTAATTTTTCCCAGGTCCCAATGACTTTTCCTTAATGTGCGTTGCCAGATCCCTGATATGAGCTTTGTCTGAACGCCTCCTCAGCTGGGACTCAAGTAATACACCGGGGAGACTACTAACAAGATGCTGCAACATGCGTCTCTCTCTTGTTATTTACAAGCAGTTAATTTTTCATCATCTTTAAAAAAAATGCACTCCTAAAAAAACCCAGAGATGTAAATGCCCTGTACGTGTGCCTGGCGAATATCAAGAAAGAGAAAATGGTTTCATTTCATTAAAAACTATTTAGTCATTTCCTCAACTGAGTTTCTTTGATGAAGAATTGAATTACTCCTTAGACACCTTCTAAAAATAGAAAGATGCTCCCCTCCACAGTGACGCACTTGTAGTGTGAGAATAAACTCCCGTGATACATATACCTGTCAGGGACAATCCAATCAGCAGACAAAAGGATGAACTACCTTCTAAAATGCTTGTCCCCTCCTAGATTAATGGCTCAATGCTATCGCCTGCAGACGATAGAAAAGCTAGCAGAATTCAGACCTCGGGATCAGTTTTTGCTGTTGGCAAAATCTGCAATTCAATAATTCATGTTTTCAGTTTAGTTTGATCTCTGATTAATATTGAAGGAAATGGCACTCGAGTCCACTTTCTCCCCACGCCTTCCCTCAGCTGCATTTGACAGTTCATTTTCTAGCGTGTCTTGTGCCCTAGTTACAATTTAGCCTGTTGTCTAAACCAAAACTACTGTTTCTAGCCCACTCTACTGCCTGCAGTCTGCAAAAAGGGATTTAATTTTCCATTTTCAATAAAAAGCCAGAAATTCTTTATGCATGACCTGGAAAGAAGAAACGGTAATGAAAAAAATCAGGAACCAGACTGAATCAGAGCCAATGGCTGGAAATCACCAAGGTCAAGTGGGTTTGGGGCTGCTTGTCCTAGGGAGAAAACGGGGTGCAAGGCTAGTAGCAGGTAAAACTCGGATGGAGCTCGACATCTAATCTCCTTCCTGTGAATCCCAGCCTTGATCAGGAAAGACAGTCCATTCATTAAACAAAGGATCCATTGAATTTGTGTCACAGTGCCTACTAAATGCCTCCGAGCGGTAAGACTGATATTTGCAGAAACCTTCATCTGTTTTTCACTCTAGGAAGTGGGAATTTAGGGTTTTGTTACTGGGTGACAATAGCTGTAAAGATGAGACCCGTACAGAGATTAGCTCATGAGACAATTTAAGTTTGGGCATAAAGATTCTGTGTCAGCTTGTCCACAGCTCATTTAGTGCTACTTCTACACCAAAAGTTAAACTTGGGGCAGCTGGAGACTTGGACCGATGAACAGCACCCTGGAAGATGGGGCTGACGGAAAGCAGCTGTGGGCAAGGGCGGGAGGAGGTCCTTCTTTGGCCATACTTGTGTTTTCCCAAATTGCAGCTACTGCAGTGGCCACATGCTATCACCACTGCTGTCCTTGGTGTGACCACCTGCGGCATCAGCACAGGGGCGTTTTACATGTACGTTGCTCAGGGGTTCAAAAAACGTGCAGATGTGGCACTTCAGGACATGGTTTAGCAGGCATGGGGGTGTTGGGTTGATGTTTGGACTTGGTGATCTTAGAGACCTTCATGATTCCATGATTCTATGATTCCGCTGTGTTCACTGCCTTCATCCGAACCAGACAGTGTCTGGTCGCGTCTGTTTGAAGACAGTGAAAGATGGGAAACAGGTGGGAAATGACTGCCCCAGCAGGTAAACACTTCAGTGATGGAGATGACAACGAAGCCTCAATCCAAACCCCCAGGGAACAGCTCTGAAGGTACTCTGATGTGAAGATCCGATTTATACATTTCTACTTGCAGTCTTAATGACTTCATCAATGACATACTAGACTTGACACACAACTTGGAAGGCAGCAGCAAATTCTCATTTCTGCTTCCAATCTCTTTTAAACTCAGATGAAGCAACCTGATGGTTTGTTCTTGGTTATCGTGTCACTGTTGTAAGAAAAACCTTGCTTGAAAAAAAGACCTGTTTCACACTGGGCTTCTAGAAGACACTAATCCATTTGGACCCTTCATGACAAGGGGGCTCTGGTAGAGGATCATTTTCCTACAGTCGCTGGAAGTTTCTGTGCTGTCAATTGGAGCAGCCCTGTCTATCATAGCTGCCAAGGTGGTTCAGAAGCTCTTCAAGAGAGATTGCCTCTTGCTCTCTGAGGTCTTTATATTACCAAGGCATGAAATAAATCAACATTCATGTCCTGCCTCTACGATGTTGTTTGCTGATTGCCTGCAAATTGACGTGAGAGATTCTGCATGCATGATGGAAGAACAAAATGAGGGCATCAGGGACTCTCTTTCCTGCAACAGTACAGAGATCAGCACTAAACATCTGTGCCGGATCCATTTCTGTTCTCTGACCCTGCTCTGTTTGTGTCCGTGGAGAACACGCTAACGGTTGGATTATCATTGGAAGGCAAAGTCCTGGCTGCAGCTCAGGGCTAGACTGGCTCCCACTGCTCCCAAACGCATACAGTCCTGCTGCTGTAACGAGATAAGCCTCCCAAGATCTCCGTGAGGGATAGGAAAATTAGGATTAAATGAGCAAATATATCACAGAGATGATAGCTGATCTGTGTAATGATGATCGGTCTGTCTCCAAGAGAGTGCAAGAAGCACTAATTATGTTGGATTAAAATGGGTCATTAGAGCTACATTTGAGAGCAAAGTTGCAGGGCGAGATAAGGCACTAAAGGGCCATTAAATCCACCTCCCTCTCTGGCTCCAAGTCATGTTCAAGCATACCTAGCCTCTCCATGGTATATAATTCCCAAACCCATCCATAAGAACTTTTTCAAATGATGGAGGACTGTACAATTACCTTAGGACAGGCATGAAATTTTTCCCTGAAGAACTAAGCTTGAAACCATCACTAAGCATCGTAAGAGAAGGGGTCTTGAGGGGTCTCACAGACAAGAATGGACTTTACTGAAAACTTTTCCAAGATGCAGGGCCTCATTTCTCTGTGATGAGTTTCTGAGTTGCTCCACTAGCAAACGCAGAAGGCGAAATTCTGTCATTGCTCCAGTTCTCCTTGTTACGCAGAGATGTATGCACCTAGCCTGTATTTTGATAGCAAAGCTGAGGACTGTGGAGAAGTCGCAGGAATACAGACAATAATAACAATAAAGAACCCAGCTCTGCAGGACTCTCTATATTTTCTTTTCACTTAATGTTTTCATAAGTGTAAAATCGTTATACAGAATCTTATGATGAGTAAGAAGCAGCAGAAGAAAGAGAATCTAGACTCCAGAACACATGGATTGGGACTAACAATCAGCTGGGCCACAGAGGAAAATCTCAGAGCACTTTGATCAATCATCTCTTAAACTGCTTATGAGTCATGCCAACTCTTCTACATGCAATCCAAATCAGATTCATGAGGTTTTCCAAAATAAATGGAAATGGCCTTTCAAAGGCCACCTGGGCACCACAAGATGTGTTTTCACAGAGGAATTACGTTTACTGTAAAGCCCTGGGCAGCGGTTTGAGAATGGCTGTCACATACATTCACGCTGCTTTACCGGAATTTAGTGAGACCGGCATCCGTGTGAGCTGTTACACCAGCATTCATGAGTGAACTTAGAGCAAATATTGAAGGGACATAACAATACCATAACACAGGTCAGATAAAATTAAACCAGAAAACTCTAGAGAACGTGGCAAACAGGAGCTCTGAGGCACTAGCAGATGTCCAGGTCGAGAGTGAAAAGTGTTTGCCTCCAGGTTTGTCTAAAAATAAGTTGATCTGAACAAGTATGACGCTGAAAACGTGAGAAGGTTTAACCTGTTGCAAGTCTATATTGAATACGGAGCTAATCTCTACCGCCAGCTTTATGAGCTGTAGCTGATACCAATAAAACACGTCCTTGTTTACCATTCCATAACTCACGTCCGATGTCTTATCTGAACTGTGTTACATTTCATCAAATGTTTGCTGTTCCAGTTTTGAGTGCTGATGTTAAATTAATGACTCGCCTCGATAAACCATCAACCACTTGTAAGAGGAGCTGCCGTACCCTGCTCTGGCTGGTTGACTTGTGCACTCAGTGGTGTAAAATCGTTGTTCTGAGTGAAAATCCATCCGTGTTCTGCTGTCCTGCGCCACCCATCACAACACAGTGGAAGGGACAGATCCTGTCCTACGGTCTTTTAGGGCAAAAGTGACAAGCAGGGGTCAACAGAGCTACCCCCTTGGAAGGTTTATGATTCCCCCAGCACGAAGTGGCACAAGCTGCTGTGCCAGCTCCACCAACACCCAGTAGCACCATGCTGGGTTTGGGAAAGGAGTGTGCCTGGAGGCCTGGGAGCTCCCTGGAGCTACTGGCAACAGATATGTCTAAGCAGACCCAGGGCTGCTCTGAATAATTCCAAGAGATGAAAAGATTTCTGGAGGTCCATGATATCGTAAACAATAAAACCAGTATTTAGTCCAGCTTGCCCAACCCAGGGAGAAGGGACGAGTATTTCAGCATGGAACGTCAAAGCAGGAAGATGGAGGGACCTGGAGCATCAGACTGCTTCCCTCTGGAGCAGCTCTTTCAAGCCCAGTCCTTTGGCTCTGGTTTCCTTTGTGACTGAAATATTACAGGAATTCTTTCATTTAAAGCTGCTCATTTTCACTCCAGTCCAGCTCCCACAATCAATGCATCACGTTTATGAGAGATGAATGTGGAAATGATTCCACAGAACACTGCAGATAGCCTCGGGTAGTACCGTGATAGGCCAGGCCATCAGACAAAACAGAGGCAAGTAGTTATCAAAAACTGGCAATGCTGAAAGCAGCTTTCTATTTCTTTCACTTGTGGGTATGTGAACAAATGTACATATATGTATGCAAGACACATAGGCACCCACTTAAAAGGTTCTAGCTCCTGGGTCCTCTGTGTTAGAGCTCACTGCACCTTCTTCCGAAGCATGGCAGCTTCTTTTTAAAAATAGAGCCAAGAAAACTTTAAAAAAAAACCCCAAAGACTTACATTCCAGTCTATCGTAACAAAGAAAGGGTGACGTTTAATTTCTTCCACTCCGTCGAATCCAGCACCTGGCAAAAGAACGAATGAAAGAATCAGAATAAAGTTCTGCTTAGAAGAGTGCTGCTGGCTGTCTCTTCTCCAGCTTTCCTCCCCGTCCCCTCTTTTCTTCTGACACAGCCATCCCAATGCTTCTAGTCGAGAAACCCTGAACAGTGCAACTGCCATAGCAATGCCGTAAATACAGACCACGGCACTTCATCAACGAACGTCTGATGGCTGAGGTTTCCGCTTCTCTCTAATTGAGGGTGGTGCCAGGGCTGAATAGCTGCTCTCCCCAGGCTTCAGCCACGATGGGGGATTGCGGAGAGCACCAGGGAGGTCACGATGGCCCCTGAGATGTCCCAGTGCAACACCACAGCTCCTGCTGCTCCTGGCCACCAGCAGCAGCTCCTCTATCCCCGCTGGCTTCCAAACCTTGCCCCATTGCCCATTCTCCTCAGGCAGGGAAAGCTGCGCTACAAATCACTTCAGACTCCAAATACCGAAAGTGTTTGGTCCGCTCTCCAAGTGATTTGAGGGGAGCCAGGGTTTTAGGCTCCCCCTTTTTCCAATGCCACCTTCAAATTTGCATAAGTACCAAAATCGTCACTCTCAATGGGATCTTAGATTTCTGTTACATTACTCTGCAGGAAATCTAGGGAACCTCTTCTGAGATCTGGTAAAGAATCTTATAAATGCCCATAAATATCTGCAGGGTGGGTGTCAGGAGGACGGGGCCAGACTCTTTCCAGTGGTGCCCAGCGACAGGACAAGGGGCAACGGGCACAAACTGAAGCAGAGGAAGCTCCAGCTGAACATGAGGAAGACCATCTGAGGGTGCTGGAGCCGTGGCCCAGGCTGCTCAGGGAGGCTGTGGAGTCTCCTTCTCTGGAGATATTCCAGACCCGCCGGGACGCGGTGCTGTGCAGCCTGCTCTGGGTGACCCTGCTTGGGCAGGGGGTTGGACTGGGTGACCCACAGAGGTCCCTTCCAACCCCTACCATGCTGTGATTCTGTGATTACTTTTGCCTTATGTCTTCACTGAAGATTGCCTTTTTTACTCCTTTAGCTGAATTTACTTACTTCAGTGCCACCGCAAAACCCAGCAGGTGCTCAGTAATAATTAAACAACTGCCAGAGAAGATTTTGCATGCCATTTCAGGGGTTGATTTGACTTTATTAATAGCACCTTTCAGTTTCCACTATGAGAAATAACATCTGGAAGCAAAGGCTTTGCATTGCAATTTTGGAATCGGTTCCTGAAAGGTACCCAGCACTTCTTTACCAGGATGCTGAGCACCCTTTACTCCCAAAAGGACTTCAGATTCACAAGCACCTGGCAAAAGGCACTCGGCACCGCAGATTTTTTTATACGCAGTATTTGTACTTTCTGAAGATCAACTTTTTACTTGCTGAAGATCAACATGACAAGTAGTTTCAGAAAGGTCTTGTCAACTTGAGCTTTAGTAAAACGTGACGTCTGCTCTCCTCGTGTACAAGACATCACCCACCGATGTTTGCCAAAACGCACTGATCAAGAATAGCTCCCTGCACCCTTCACTGATGAATGGATACGAAAAGCAAACACTTTGTGAACACAACACGCAGGATTGTCTCTCAGGCCTGCTGGATAATGACGTGAGAGGAATGTTCTTCTGATTACTTCCCCATCCTGGTAATCTTAGACATCGTATCGACAAACGTAAGTGACGGACACGAGGATAAACAATCTTAGCGCACCATGCAGCACCATGTGCTCGGAGGTGGTCATGCCCACTCAGGGGTGAGGTCTTTGGGTTGTGACTGACAGTTCTAGGGAAACACAGCAGGAAATCAAATCTTAGACAGAGAAAAGAGGACAACACAGAGAACGTCATCACATTGTCACTGTGTGAGTCTGTTGTACACCTACAACTTGAGTATGGAAAGTAGTTGACTCACCTATAAATGGGTATATTTATTAAAGACAGGAAAAAATCAAAGAAATGCAACAAGGAATGGTATAGAATGGTTGACTTTTCAACCTGGAAAGAGATGACTGAGGGGGTATATGATAGAGACCTAAAAAGTCATGATTATTTGGAACGAGGGGATAGGGATTAACTCTTCCACGTCTTTTTCAGTACAAGAATATAGGCTATTAAATGATGTTAGCAGGAATAAGGTTCAGAACAATCTGGAGATGTCTTCTCAGGCAAAAGACAGCTGTGTGACATGGAATTCATTGGAAAAGATGATGTGGATGCAAAATATTTACATGGGTTCAGCTGGAGAACAGAAAAGTATGTTGAAATGAAATCTGTTGAAGACTTTAGAAATGCCTCTAAATATCTGCAGGGTGGGTGTCAGGAGGACGGGGCCAGACTCTTTCCAGTGGTGCCCAGCGACAGGACAAGGGGCAACGGGCACAAACTGAAGCAGAGGAAGCTCCAGCTGAACAGGAGGAAGAACTTCTTCCCTCTGAGGGTGACGGAGCCCTGGCCCAGGCTGCCCAGGGAGGCTGTGGAGTCTCCTTCTCTGGAGATATTCAAACCCCACCTGGATGCGGTCCTGTGCAGCCTGCTCTGGGTGACCCTGCTTGGGCAGGGGCTTGGACTGGGTGACCCACAGAGATCCTTTCCAACCCCTAATATTCTGTGATTATTTGGTCAACAAACCATAAGAGGTTCAGGAAATCCCTTGCCTGAGCTCAAAGCAGGTGTAAACTGGGAGAGAATTTGGGTGAAGTATAACATATGCTTACCCTATTCTTATTCTTCCCTAGGCAGTTGTTTAACAAGAAAACACTGAGACTTAGATAGTAATAAGACTTGTTTTATGTCTTCCTTGGCATGTTTTTTTCAATGTACAGTTTAAAGTCTGCACTAGAAACCCTCGGAAGATTCATTCTGATTTTAGCGATGCCAACAGAAACACGAAACCAACACAGTTACTCTGCAGAGAATTGCATTAAGCAACCCTTCGGAGAAGAAATATCTGTGAAAAATGTCTTGCGTTCAGTGGTGGTGACTGGAAACTCCGCATTGTGCATTAGTTGCTCTTTACTACATAAGGATGAAATCCAAGTGCCAAACTGATGTTGAAGGACTGAGATAAACGCTACAGTTATTGTAAGCTTCTGGTAGCGTTCTCTAGACTGAGGATAACTGCTGATGTGTTCAATCTTCTCTGCTCTGTCCCTTCCCTGCTGTTTCCCCTTTCCCTCTTTTGTAGGCTTACGGATACATCATTGGGTGATGGGAACGACCTGCCTTTTTTCAGATGATCCATTTGAAAGCCACACTTTTTGCTACTGTTGCTGTTCTTTTTTCCACAAAACCACAGAAATCAGAACCAAGGAAAAAGCCCACCCACAGCTACTTCTACCAGTGGATGACTGCAGCGTGCAGTAAGGAACGCCGCATGCAGCTGACACAGGCATTTGTTTGAAAAATTAGCATTTCCCACCTGGGGCCATCTCAGAGAGAACAGGTTGTTAGGCATGCCAGGGCTTGACTCCACTCCACTCAGGCAGCCCAGTCCTCTCCTCAACTGGGGACAGCTCGGGGAGCCCGGAGAGGCAACCCTGACCCTGCTGAGGAAGACCATGGGAGAGGGTAGGCAGCGGGGCTCACGGTGCTGGCTCTCTGGATTTGCTCAGCACGTTTCAGCCGTTCACCTACCGTCTGCCAGTCTGTAGTGGTACTGGAAGGAGATGAGTTTTCACGGAGAAAAGAGAAGCACAAGAGTAACTGGAAAGCCCCGTTTCACGGGCATGGACATTTTTTGGCATAAAGATGAGCATTTAGCAGACTGCTGAAGTGCAGCACATGATGGCACATCGCATGAGTGCAAATCTTTCACCCTCCTCTAGGCTTCTGGTTGTTTTTTTCAACTTCACTTTAACTTCAGTTTAGTAATGAAACATATCTGTAAAGAATAATCAAGCACAATCAAACTTACTGCCGGCAAATATTCCTACATGCCATCCGGTCCCACGAGGGTCCGAGAAGATAAAGAATGCTTTCAGATCAAATTGCCAGTTTAAACACATTACAGAGCGCAAGGATTTATATAAAAGCAGCCTCATGTTAATAAGCAAGAACTTGATTATCTAAGATTGTTTTATGCCTGTAATAAAAGTGTCTGCAAGCAGTAACAGCAGAATGCTTTATTTGTAATTGGTTTTGATTGTTGAATCATTACGGACAATGTCAGCCTTGAAATATATTAAGGGGAAAATGGGAGACCTATGAAATCTGAAAGTTGATTATTTGGATGTTCAAAATGAGCAGAAAGAGCATCCAGAGTTTTAGTTTCATAGAATAAAATTCTAGCGTCTCCACAGCTTCAGAATCTTTTCAGTGGGCTAGATTTTTTGAAAGGCGTTCTGAAGGGCTACAAGAAAGCAGTACAGTCACTCTGACAGAGGCGAAGCTCGTTTTTTAAAACTCATCATCTTACAGAACCGAAAAACAAAGTTTTCTACGTGTCAGAGCAGAATGTATGTTCTTCTCAGAACATGAGATTAAGGAAATAGTAACTATTTCTTTGGCTTTTGCTCTGAACATACTGCTGCGTGCTTTGACTCTGTACTTTCTTGGCCAAGCTTCCAAACTGTAAGGACTCGGGAACTTTTATCCTGCTCAGCAGTGAAGGGAGTTCCTGAAATGCTCTTTACATCCATTTCCCTACCTGAGTACATCCAGGCCTCAGCGCAAATAAGAATTAGTCCCTTGCCTAAGTTCCTGGCAACGTAATGAACTAAGACCTTCATCGTACAATTTCCTTTCCGAGATGCTTAGTCCTTGTTTGCCTGGATATCCCAGTTAGTTCCTTCTAAGAATTTAAAATCATGCTTGTCCATAATCTGAAACTTGTTGTACTTAATCAGAGCAATATTACCGAAGCGGTGCTATGCAGAGTATTTGTACAGCAGAGTGTATAGGCTCAGAAAAGCACAGACAACGCCCATAACGAGGGGTGCCAAAGGAAGGAAGACTTTCCATTCCTTAAAAATTTGTTCTAAAGCATTGATACTGGCACCAGGCTTGAAAACAGAATCAGGTAAACTGGATTACTAAATTCCTTCTCTGCCTTGTCTGAGTATCTCCCTTCAGCTCTAACATTTTCATCCATTAATAACCCGAAGCTTCAAAACAAAGTTTCAAAGCACAATTTTGGAATACATCATCAATCTTTACTCCTATTTGTTAAGATATCAAAATCAAATGGCAAAAAGCAAGATGCTAGTCAGAATAAAATGATTTTTGAAGCTCAGCATCTTTCATCTTGCCAACGTTAAAAACGCTTTGGAACTAAATACAAATACTTTCCAGATTTGCAAACTTCTGAAACAACGGCTGAAAAGAAGTTTTTGATCCATAATATGGCTCATTTATTTTAGCACGCTTCATTAATTTTCCAAAGAATTTTCAAAACAGGATGTCTAAGCCTACTCTTTTTTTAACTTCAGACTATTCTTCCTTTCCCAGAAAAAGCTAAAATCCACAAAGTCGAAGCAGTCCTTTCATCTGCTGACTTCTGTTCCGTATTTAGGCCAACCATTGAAGTATTCCTTCTTTCATTACCTACAAGTCTGTCTTCATCATCCTTTGAGCTGATTCTCAATCACTGAAAACAGAGAGAGCCTTCAGAAGCTCTGCACCACTAATGTTAAGATCTATTTTTCTGTTACTCTTTTAGATTTTATTTTCTCGGATGTTTGTGTTATAAATAACCTCTTCCTTTCTCCCAGCCTTCCCAGTATTTCAATAAAGCTCAGGTTTAAAGCCTTGACCCTTAGCAATTCCCCATTATTAAAAGTGAGATGATACGGGGTCTAGAACTGCCATGGCCATGGCTAAAACTAAGCAACTTTGCTTATTTTAGCGAGTAGTTTTTTATTTCAGGATCAGTATCCCGAAACTCCCGCTGACTTCACTGGAGCCCCATTTTGGGTGGATAGCAGCTTGTGAGAAGCCACAAAACGAGCAGAGCAGAACAAAACCAGGAGACAGAGACAGGGAGGAAACAGCAGAAAGGAACAGGGGGGTGGAGCGGGGAAAGGTTTGTATTTGCTGCAGCATCTTATTTTTCTGAACATCGAGTAAACCTAGAAATCCCAAGACTCTAATTTTCCCTAATGCCCAGCAAATTGCTTGAGAGCAATTGAACCTGCCGAGAAAATGTGGCTTTGCACTTTCTTCTCCCAGCATATCAGTCTCTTCTCTCTTCTCTTCTCTTCTCTTCTCTTCTCTTCTCTTCTCTTCTCTTCTCTTCTCTTCTCTTTTCTTCTCTTCTTTTTTTTCTCTTTTTTCTCTTCTCCTCTCCTCTCCTCTCCTCTCCTCTCCTCTCCTCTCCTCTCCTCTTCTCTCTTCTCTTCTCTCTCCTCTCTCCTCTTCTCTCTTCTCTGCTCTCCTCAACAGAGGGAGGGAGGAAAGGTTTGTCCCTTTCCCTTAGATGCAAATTCTTCCCTTGTTCACCCAAAATGCAGACTATGAGAACTGGGGGGAAAAAAGAAACCTCCAAAACTTTTTCACAGAACTAGATATGATTTTTAAATGAAAAACAACACAGTGCTGTTGTCTTCATATCATTCACTTGATATGACTTTTCTTATTTTTCCATGTAAAAACCAAAGAGTAAACTTGCAATGAAAATCATGCACCAGGGATTGCCCGTGACCTCGCCAAATGCAACGAATTTCTTAATAAAACTCCCAAACAAAGGTAGAGGTGGCATAAGATACGTGATCCAATACACCTTTCTAGTTTATCACAATTTAAATAGGATTATTAACAAAGGGTGAAAACACATTAGTAAGAAAGCAGACACTACTCTGCATTTACACTTAGGGTAATGAAGAAGAAAGCCTACTGTGAAAACGGTTTCCAGCAAACAGAATGAGACAGCATCGAAACGTATTTGAGAATGGGACAGACAAACTCTACTCCCTTTCGCTCTCCACCTCAGATCTGCAGCTCAGTTACACAGATTTAAAAAGACACTTGCTTCTCCGTTCCCTGTACTGTCACATGCAGCAGTTATCTTCAACCCTTCATAAATGCTGGTGGCTTACTCTCCCTCTTCACCGAAAAAAACCCAAGATACAAGCTAATGTCATAGTTTAGATTCCAATGGTTTCCCTGTGCTCTTTGCAAATCTCTCTGGTAGCGCTCGAGGTTCTCTGCGCTGCGGGAAGGAATGCACAACGCCGCCTAACGAAGAGGAGAACCATCAGGGAAGATGCACCGAGAGAGGCGATGAGGACCTGACCGGGTAGAGCCCGCGCAACAAATGCCCTGCTCAAATGCGGGCGCCTACCTAATCTGTTGGAGGGGTTCCGCTTGAAGAGGGCTCGCAGCAGGCTCTGGGCTTCTAGGCTCAAGAACTGCGGCATTCCCAGCTTGGCTCTGAAAGAACACAACACTTGAAAAGAAAATAGGTTTTTCAAAAATTTTCTCCACCCCGCTGTGGTTTAAAAAGTGGAACTGTAGCGGTCAGGACAGGTAGAGACATGGATTTGGTGACCAAAAGCTACCTAAGCATAATGCATTACAGGGCGAGGGCCTGATCTCCTTCTGTTGAAGTTCAAGCAGGTTTTGCCACTGGCTTCACTAGAGGTAGAGTAGATCTAATGAATCTCATAACACCTTTTAATCCTAAACAGGTCATTTTCCTACAGAAATTGTTTTGACTTGTTTAGCTTGCTGGAATAAATTTGGGAATCAAGAGGAATTTAAACAAACAAACAAAACTTCATGAAAGTAATTATACTAAACCACATACTGATTAAAGAGAATAAAACTTTTCCCTTGGAAATTCACTGCTATGGAGAAAAAATGTAACATTGAGCAAAGATAAGCTTCAAATACTTCTGTCTGCACTCAGCATTGAATGAATGGAAAATTTGCAAAGGAAAGGATTTGAAACTTGGCAACAACGAAACATGAGATGTCCTGCAGAAATCTGACCATTCCCACCTCTGGGTGGATAATGGCATTATCACAGAAAGTCAGAGACATCTCTTTTGCAAGGCCCCCTCAGTAATTCACCTCCTACTAAACTGTTCTGAGGGCAATTTTAGAGCCACATGTAGGCATCACCGGCTGCACATGCCTCACCAAATTCACGCCTTAGGCAGCTCTGAAAACACGTTACACACGTTATTATTCTCTACCCTTCACATACTTTGGACCTATAGGCTGCCCGGAGGGTACAGTTAACTTCAAGAAATGAAAGCAGGTTTGGTACTCACTTGAGAATGAGTGCCATTGTCTCCTTTCTGTCTTTTCCCTGGAAGGGTAACGATCCCGTCAGCATCTCAAACTGTGGAGTGATAACAAAATGGTAAATGAAACGAGCACTGAGACAGTCTGCATAGCTGGTAGACACCGCACCCGCCTTCAATTCCCAACACAACTGAAAGCTTGAGGAAAAAATTGTCCAACAAGCTGTGCTTTAAAAAAAACCGACACAGCAATTCTGGAGTATGCAGAACATGAAGGACCAACATGACCATTTCCTTCAAGAATCTTGTTACGAACTGTTCACACTGATACTTGGGGTCAAGTTTTGGTATGTTTGGGAAAAAGCGTCACATAGAATCATAGAATCATAGAATAGCTTAGGTTGGAAGGGACCTTGAAGACCATCTGTTTCCAGCCGCCCTGCCATGAGCAGGGACATCTTCCACCAGCCTAGGTTGCTCACAGCTCCATCCAGCCTGGCCTTGAACCCTGCCAGGGAGGGGGCAGCCACAGCTTCTCTGGGCAACCTGGGCCAGGGCCTCACCACCCTCATGGGGAAGCATTTCTGCCTAATATCTCCTCTAAA